AAATTGACCATCCCTTTGAGATCCCCACAGCCAATCAGGAGTGAGTATGCAAATTAACCTGACAAAGATGGTGGGCCTGTGGGCAGTGTGCGCACCAGTGCCGAGCAGCCAGGGTCCTGTGGACACCACTGGAGTGTCCAATCCTGTCAGCCCGGCCTGGGGGCGGCTGAAGTTCCCAGTTCTTTTGGTTTCTGCAGCCCCTGGACCAGAAGCAGAAACCAAGAGTGTGTGGAGCACCAGGAATTCTGGGAATTGTAATTCTGGTGGCAGTCCCTGGACCAGAAGCAGAAGCCCAGAGCATGGAGAGCACCAGAATGCTGGGAATTGTAGTTCTGGTGGCAGATGCTTTGCGGGATCTCCTAGACCAGTGGTCTGCAAACTCATTAGTCAACCGAGCCAAATGTCAACAGTACAATGATTGAAATTTCTTTTGTGAGCCAAATTTTTAAAACTCAAACTATACAGGTAGGTACATTGTTATTAACTTAATTAGAGTACTCCTAAACTGGCCTTCACTAAAAACTCAAGGGGCCAAAAAGCCACAGGTGGCTCGAGAGCCACAGTTTGCCGACCACTGTCCTAGACACTAGAGCAAATTGAGCCTGGAGCAAGTTACTTTTGTGGGTGGGGGATGGAGGGAAAATAAAGGTGAGAGATATAAGTAAAGACCAAGTGTCGAGGAAAGATTAAAAGGAATATATCTTGCAATTTCTAGTAAATCTCCACCAATGGAGCAAAGACAAAAAAAAAAAAAAGACCTCTATTATTCTGTGAGGACCAAACCAAACTGTGTTCGGGTCTCAGATAATTTGCTCTTATGATTGCAAAGACAGACAGGAACTCTTGGATTGGAGAGGGCTCCCCTAGAGGCTCCCAGATTGGAGAGGGTGCAGGTCGGGCTGAGGGACCCACCCCCCATGCACGAATTTCGTGCACTGGGCCCCTAGTGTGATATAATAAAGGGCTCGTGGAACTAAAACCATTTTCCTCATTTTGCAATGAAGATGCCTGATGAGGCTATTGCTAGATAAGGTATGTGCAGGTGCTCTGTATACAATTAAAATTGTATACAGCTAAATAATTGTATACAGCTACATAAATATAACCTATTAATGTTACTGGAAGGGAGGCCAAGTTAGAAGCACACTTATCACTGTGCACAAATGTTAATAAAATAATCAATAGTGTATTAAAAAATTTGTGTAAACAAAAGGACCAGTTAATTACTATGTGAAAATGATAAAACGTATTATCTGTTTTTCCTTGCTTCCCCAGTTTCTTAATCAGTGCCATTTCTAACAGTTAAATTACATGCTTTAAGAAGAATGGTAAATTATACACCCTGGCTAATCCTTCCCTTTGCAAGTCATTCAGGAAAAAAAAAAGGTTGTATTTAGATATCACACCAAGCAGTATATCCACAGCCTCACATCTAAAAATCTCTTAGTTTTTAAGAATTATTTTATTTTAATCAATACACTATAAACTTAACCAAGAAAACATCCTATTAAGAAAATTACACATTGGTCGAAGCCGGTTTGGCTCAGTGGTAGAGCGTCGGTCTGCGGACTGAAAGGTCCCAGGTTCGATTCCGGTCAAGGGCATGTACCTTGGTTGCGGGCACATCCCCGGTAGGGGGTGTGCAAGAGGCAGCTGGTCGATGTTTCTCTCTCATCGACGTTTCTAGCTCTCTGTCCCTCTCTCCTCCTCTCTGTAAAAAATCAATAAAATATATTTAAAAAAAAAAAAAAGAAAAGAAAATTATACATTGGAAAAATAACCTACAAACATGACACTGATCCATCTTTGCTAAACCTTGAGTTTCAGAAATTTCATGACCTCCTACATCTCCAAATACAGGCACCCAAGGGCTCCACATCCACAAAATCAACCAGCCTTAGATGTAAAATATTCAGGAAAAAAAAAATATTACGTTGTTGCTGATGTATGCTATCTAGTTAGGCCCATCATGAGAGTTGCATCTATACTGAACATGTACAGACTTTTTGTCACTATTCCCTAAATAATACAGCATAACAACTACTTGCATAGCATTTACATTGTATTAGCTATTATAAATAATCCACAGATGATTTAAAGTGTATAGGAGAGTGTCCATAGGTTTACACAGTAACTTGAGTATACCTAAATTTTGGCATCTGAGTAAGATCCTAGAACCAATCCCCAAAGCATACTGAGAGATGGCTATAATTTCTCAAAGTTATTTAAACACTTTTAAAAAGGGAGTCAGTGAACATGAGAGATGTTCAAGATAAGAGTAATTTCGATAGAATACAGTATTCCCTCCTTATCCAGTTTTTCACTTTTCAGTTTCAGTTACCCATGGTCAACTGTATTCTGAAAATATTAAATGGAAAATTCCAGAAGTAAACAATTCATAAGTTTTAAATTGCAAGCCATTCTGAGTAACATGATGAAATCTTGAGCCGTCTAGGATATGACTCACCCACATGTGCAGTGTATCCACTCTCTTATACACTACCTATCCAGTCACATAATAGCCATCTCAGTTAATAGATTGACTGTTAAATTATGCACAGTGCTCCTATTTAAGTAATTCTTATTCTATTTTACCTAATAATGGCCCCAAAGCCAAGAGTAGTGAGGCTGACAATTCCAACATGCCACAGAGAAGCAGTAAAGCGATTCTTAAAAATCACCATAAAGTCAATAATATGCTATGTCACAATACCTACATCATTCACCTCACTTCATCTCATCACATAGACATGGTATCATCTCACATTATCACAAAAGAAGAATGAGTATTAGTACTATCAGATATTTTGAGATAGACTATATTCATATTAGTATACTAATTGTTCTACTTTATTATTAATTGTTGCTGCTAATTTCTTATTGTGTCTAATTTATAAATTAAACTGTATCATAGGTAGGCAAGTATAGGAGCAAATACAGTATATAAAGGATTCTGTACACGTGGTTTCAGGTACCCACTGGGGGTCTTGGAATACAACTTCTGCTGGTAAGGGGGGATGGCTAAGTATTAAAATTAGAGCTACTCTTAATCAATGTTTTATTTCAGACAAGATATAATAAACAAAACTTTTAATCAAATATTCTAAACTTTAACATACACACAGAGGAAAACAAAGGTCTTATATGTATTAATCTAGGGAGATGGTTATGTGCAAGCATGTGGGTTCTGGAGTCAGATTGCCTGAGTTCAAATTTAGATGCCTCAGTTGACTAGCTTAGTAACCTCAGCAAAATTATTCTACCTCTTTAACCCCTCATCTATGAAATGAAACTAAATATTGTACCTTATAAGATAACTGCGAGAATTAAGTGAGATCTCTATGTAAAGCATTTGGAGCATTATAAACCCTTAATAAGATTTATAATTATTCCCTAATTATTAGCACAAGTATGAGCACATCTTCTGCAACCTTTATGGCTTCAACAGGGAAGAAAGCCAACATTCCTGGCATCTGCATTAAACAACTTCTCATAACGAATTCTGATTTTCTTCCTATATATGTGCACACACACTAAAACACATTTTCTAGTGAAGGCACTACTCATTGTATAGAGGTGGTGCTATGGATTTACTGTGGTCTGAATGTCTGTTACTTCACACTCCTCCCCCCCACCTACTCCCAATTCATGTCAAAATACCCATATTTTTCAGACCATAAGACGCACTTTTCCCCCCCCAGAAGTGGGGGGGAAAAGTCCCTGCGTCTTATGGTCCAAATATAGCCTACACATATACTTTAAAAAAAAAGTGTTTTTACTTGCCCGGCTCTGTGTGGTCTCTGTGTGCTTGCCCGGCTCTAAAATGGTTCTAAATGCTGCTGTTTACTTTACAGGGTTGATTACATGTGTTTATGACTGTGATGTTGGGTTTTAATGCACATAAAATATTTTAGGACACTATTTGTTTCAGAATCTTTTTTTCTTCATTTCCCTTCTCTAAAAACTGGTGCGTCTTATGGTCCGGAGCGTCTTATGGTCCGAAAAATACGGTACCAATGCCCAATGTAATGGTATTAGGAGGTGGGGGCTTTGGAGGTGCCTAGATCATGAAGGTGAAGTCCTCATGAATGGAATTAGTACCTTTATAAAAGAGACCCTACAGAGCTCCTTAGCCCTTTCCACCATGTAAGGACAGAGCAGGAAGTTGTCAGTCAGCAACCCAGAAGACGACCTTGACCAGAACCTGAACAAAATAGCACTCTGATCTCTGACTGCCAGCCTCCAGGACCATGAGAAATAAATTTCTGTTGTCTATAAGCTACCAGTCTGTGGTATTTTGTTATAGCAGCCTGAACAAACTAAGAAAAGGACTGAACTGCATCCACCCAAAATGCACACGGTAAAGCCCTAACCCTCAGTGTAATGGTATATTGAAAGGAGAGCCTTTGGGAGGTGAGTAGGTATCTGTGAGGTCATGAGGATGGGGCTCTCACAATGGGATTAGTGTCTTTATCAAAAGAGACACAGAAGCCACTCTTTCTCTTTCCACCATCTGAGGAAAGGCAGGAAGGCAGCCATCTGCAAGTCAGGAAGACAACCTTCATCAGAACCCAATCATGCTGGCAACCCTGATGTTGGACTTTACAGCACAATACAGAATTGTGGAAATATGTTTCTGTTTAAGCAGTCCTGTCTATGGTTTTTTTGTTATGGCAGCCAAAGCTAATTAATATAAGTGGTATTTTCAATGTTTAAACACATAAGGGAAAATGATCGTAAGCTTATATTTTGCTAAGTTCATCAGGCCCATACAAATTCACAGTGTGTACAGTTTCAAAGACTGCAAGGTATGCCAAAATATGTCATGGTTAGACAGACATTACACTCCTACTTACAGTGTAATTTCTTTTTAAAAGCATAATATAAAGGTTCCTTATTTTTCAAAAAGCTGCTCAAAACAGTTCTAGTTAAGCCATGGTGAGACAGACATTACACTCATGTCTACAATATGTTGTAAATCATAACTTAAGGATTCTTACCTTTTATATCTGCCTGAAACTGTTCTAGATGGCTCCTGTGAAATAAAAATAATTACATGTCAGTTTGAATGTGTGTGCAAGCACAGATTCTAGATTACATAAAACAGTTGATAGAAAATATCTCATTTTGAAAGAAAATAATTTAGAACAATTGCTTTAAAAAATCTGCACTACTGGTCAAACAAAACAAGACTCTACATCTGATATTTCAGACAAAACCAATCACTTTTTAAAATTGTATTAAAGATAAGAAAATAGCCGAAACCAGTTTAGCTCAGTGGTAGAGGGTCAGTCTGCGGACTGACAGGTCCCGGGTTCGATTCCGGTCAAGGGCATGTACCTTGGTTGCAGGCACATCCCTGGTAGGGGGTGTGCAAGAGGCAGCTGGTCAATGTTTCTCTCTCATCGACGTTTCTAGCTCTCTCTCTCTCCCTTCCTCTCTGTAAAAAATCAATAAAATATATTTTTTTTAAAAATTAAGAAAATAAAGGAAGCATCGTTCATCAACCATCACCTTTAAATATTCCTGAAAGTCAATGAACGTTAAAATATGAAACAATTATAACCCTTTCCAGGCATTTTTTATGGCTTCAATTTTTTTAAAAAAGCTACAATTCACCATATATATGTATAACTATTGCTCATTTTTAAAGACAGCTAAAAATGAGAATATATTTTTTAAAATATATATTTTTTATTGATTTTTTACAGAGAGGAAGAGAGAGGGAGAGAGAGTTAGAAACATAGATGAAAGAGAAACATTGATCAGCTGCCTCTTGCACACCCCCCATTGGGGATGTGCCCGCAACCATAGTACATGCCCTTGACCGGAATCGAACCTGGGACCTTTCAGTCTGCAGGCTGATGCTCAATCCACTGAGCCAAACCAGTTTTGGTGAGAATGTATTTTTTATGCTGATTCTAAAGTATAAAAAAAATTGCTGTGAGTTAGTATTAATCACTGGGGTGGGAAAATTATCTTGCCCAAGCTCTCCCAATATTTTTACATTATCATTTTATAAAAACTGGTCAAAATTAAATGGTGAGTCTTGTAAACACCAGTAACTCTTTTTTCTACTTAATTATTAAAAGTCTCCAAAAGAGACCCTACAATGAAAAAAAATTTTCAGATATAATCAAAATCAGATAACCTCTCTTTATAAGATGACCATATGACTGAGAACACTGACTGCGTCGTGCAATAAAGAACATATTAATGTGGGAACCATAGGATTTACGTAGATCCAAGTGCCAGCACTACAGGTAAGTTATTTAATACCTATCAGTCTCAGTTTCTTCATCTTCAAAAAGGAGTAACAGTCAATATCTATTTTATTGGATTATTGTGGAAATTAAATGGCAAAGGTGAATAAGAAAGTTAGCACAATTCCTTTGTAATTAACCCACTACGGGAATAACCAGGTGACAGGACACTAGAAGTGCCACTGTGTGACAGCAGAATTACCTCTGCAGAAAGACACTGTACCCTTGGGTATCATCTATTTTTTACTTGCTAGGCAAAGTAAACTTTGGACCAGCTATTTTCAATGGTGTGCTGAATTTTAAAACATAGAATACCTGACTCTTTAGTCAGGGACACTGACCTCTTTTCCCTCAGATTGTCAAATTTAAAAAATGACAACAGCCAACACATTAGCCATCCGGTGTGAATGAATCAAAATTATACCTATTTTTTTTGTCAGTTCAGCAAAAAATATATATTTTTTTGGTGTGCCACAGAATTTTAGTGACTCGTTTATTGTGCCATGAGATGAAAAAGGTTGAAAATGGCGCTTTACAGTTTCTTTATATGCCTTCATTAATGTGGCACCCCGTAAAGATAAGGCAGATGAATTCTTGGTATCCCGTACAGCAAACATGTGAAACATCTATTTACAAAAATATGAAACCTCTAGTGAATACCAACAAAGAATATACTTTATAAAATTTAGTTTCTAAGTTATATTTGAACCATAATAACTAGGTTAAAATGTTTAATCACTGGTTATTCAGATAAAGCAGAAAGACATATTAAGCTTATGTGTGTTCACTTAAAATACATCTTATTGAATCCTGATGATAATGGTTTCATATGGAACTTATTCCCCTAAAATTTCACAAATAGTAGTTCAATTAACATTTTATAACAGTTTTCTTTTATAAAAATTCCCTAATCTTATTCTATATGAACTAAAACTAAGGCATATACCTTAAATGATACCTATCTAAATAAGCATTAGAAAAAAAAATGCTAATAATGCCCTAAATTCCAAAACATCATATCTCTGTTTGTTTTTGTTAATCCTCATCAGAAGATTTTTTTTTTTTTCTCATTGCTTTTCAGAGAGATTAGAAGGGAGATAGGGAGGTAGGGAAAGACGGAGGGGGAAGAAAGAGAAGAGGCCTCGTGAGTGCAGGGCAGGCTCCTCTTGGGTTCAGGGGTATCCTGTGTGAGAGCCCGGGCGTCCCGGGGAAGAGTAGCAGGAGCAGTGAGAGCGAGCTCTGCAAATACCCCGCATTCTCACTGCACCTCCATCCCCGTCACCCCACCCCCAGGTAACCGGCAAGAGGTCACAGCTCCCCACCCAGGTGCTGAGGGAGGTTGGTCGCTGCCACCCAACCCCATTTCCCCTCCCAGCCCGGGGCCGGCCCCAACTGCGCAATCAGGGCCTGCCAAGGCTGGTTGCTGTCTGCGGGGTCATTGGTCTGGGCCAGAAACCCCACCCAGCGCCCTCAGAGCCTGGGAGCCAGCGGCAGCCCCGCGGCCCTGCCGCCGCCACCACTGGTCGACGTCTGTGGGGCAATTGGCCGGGCAATTGGGCCCCTGCTCGCACCCACTCACCTGCTCCACCATCCCACCACAGTCCCACTCTGGTCAGGGCCCACTGGGGCTGGCAGCACTCCACTGCCGCCCGCTGCCAACATCACATCACTGATGCCCCCCATGTCCCGTGCTACTCTCTGGTGGTCAGCACTCGTCATAGCAAGCGGTCGAACTACCAGTCGAACAATTTGCATATTAGGCTTTTATTACATAGGATTGGTTTCAGGTGTATAGATGAGTGATTAGACAAACATATACTTTTTGTTTGTTTGTTTTATTAATCCTCACCCAATGATATTTTTCCATTGATTTTTAGAGAGAATTGAAGGGAGGGGAGGAGAGACAAAAATAGAAACAATGTGAAAGAGACACATCAATTGGCTGCCTTCCACAAGCAGAATTAGGGATAAAGCCTGCAACTAAAGTATGTGCCCTTGACTGGAATCAAACCTGGGACCCTTCAGTCCAAAGGCTGATGCTCTATCTTCTGAGCCAAACCAGCTAGGGCAACAACCATATACTTTACATTCTGTTCCCTTTGACATTTCCATTACCCCAATTAGTACTATACATAGTTATCACAGTATTATTGACCATATTCCCTCTGCTTTTCTTACAGCCCCATGACAATTTTGTAACAACCAATTTTTACTTCTTTTTTTTTTTAATATTTTTATTTATTTTAGAGAGAGAAAGGAAGAGGGAGAGAGAGAAAAACACCAATGTAAAAGAGAAACATCAATAGTTTATCGCCCGCATGCACCCCAACTGGGGACTGAATGCGAAACCTGAGTATGTGCCCTGACTAGAATTCAATGGTGACCTTTTCGTGCATGAGACAATGCTCAACCAATCCAGCCACATCAGCCAGGGCGCCAATTTTCACTTCTTAATCCCTTCGCCTATTTCACCCAGTCCCTCAATTCCCTTCCTCTCTGGCAATCATCAGTTTATGTCTGAGTCTCTTTCAATTTTGTTTGATCATTTATTTTGTTCTTTAGAATCCATAAATAAGTGAAATTATATGGTATTTGTCTTTCTCTGACTACTTATTTCACTTAGCATAATGGACCTAGAGGTCTACCCATACTATCGCAAATGGTCAGATCTCATTCGTTTTGATGGTCAAGTAGTATTCCTTTGTGTAAATTACCACAACTTTTTTATCCACCCATCTATTGATGGGCACTTGGATTGCTTCCATATCTTGGCTATTATAAATAACACTGCAATGAACACAGGGGTGCATATATTCTTTCAAACTAGTGTTTTTTCAAACATATATTCTTTCAAACTAGGGTTTCTTCAGATAAATCTCCAGAGTGAAATAGCTAGGTCATAAGGCAGATCCATTTTTAATTTCACAAAATACTTATCTTTTTTTCTCTTGTTAATCCTGACCTGAGATTATTTTCTCCATCTTTTTTTTTTTTTTTTTTTTAATAGAATGGAAGGGAGAAAGGGAAGGACGGAGAGAGACAGAAAGAAAACATCTATGTGAGAAAGGTACTTCTATTGGTTGCCACCCTTGCACCCTGACGAGGGGCAGGGAAACCTGCAACCCAGGCATGTGCCCTTGACAGGGAATTGAAGGAGACCATTCGGTGCCTGGGCCAACATTTTAACCACTGAGCAACACCAGCCAGGGAAGAAAATTTTTTAAAAACATTTTATTACCACTAGTTCATATTATCCCACCCAGGCACTGAGGGAGATTGGTCGCCGCCACCCAACCCCATTTCCCCTCCCAGCCTGGGGTCTGGCCCCAACTGGGCCATCAGGGCCTGCCACTGCTGGTTGCTGTCTGCACTCATCATAGCAAGCAGTTGAACTCCCAATTGAAACTATGTCAAGTAGAAACTTAAAATATTCTACCTTTTCCCAATGCCACATTCATATTTCTATTTTATTCTTCACATTTGAAGTTTTGTTTCACTGAATGGTTGACTCACAGATAATGCTATGAAAAAAAAGTCCTTCCAACTTCAATGTGTCAATCTGGGACCCTTGGAAGAGTACCCCATTTTCATCCTAGGCACAGAGCCTGGCAAAACAGAAAACTTGGAACCAAGGTAAAGATGAGTCCCATCCTAACTGCCAATGACAGTAACAAAAATGAAAGAGTGGGCCTGGCAAGAAATTAGAAAGGTACAGGAAAAAAGACAAACTGTATGAGGCAGAAAGCTCCTCAGAGCGCCCGGATCAGCCGAGACTGTTCCGTATCTGCATGTGTACTGCATTTGAGAATAAGCCATGTGTTCTAACAGAAGCCACCCCAGCTTTCATTGGGTAAGGGCTTCTTCCACAGAAAGAAATCAACCCTCTTTCTAAAAGCTGCTGCCTGATGTTATCTGAGTATGCCAGAATAAATGGAATGGCCAAGAACTAAAACCAGGTCTTAAAATGTTATATATTCTCATCCTAGCCGTTGTGGCTCAGCATTGGTTGAGCATTGTCCTGTGCTCCAAATGGTTGCCAGTTCAATTTCCGTTCAGGGCACATACCCAGGTTTCAGGGTCAGTCCCTGGTCAGGGTGCATACAGGGGGCAATCAATCGATGTCTCTCTCCCTCCTTCTCCCCTCCCTTCCTAAAAGAAATAAAAACACATTTTTTAAAAAATGCTATATTGTTTCTATCCAAATAAATTAAGCCTATATCTTCACCTGGAATAGGCCCGTATTTTTTTAATTTTCAAATTAGGATTCTCATTCTCATGTTTAATTTATTTGTTCATCATTGTTCCATTCTAAAAATGAAAAAAAAAGTCCTTTGAGAAAAAGAAAAAACAAACAAACAAGGGAAATTAAGCACTGTTTATATATTTTGCATCCAGGCACCAGGACTCACGGAAAAATACATTTTTTTCATTGAATTTATTGGGGTGATATTGCTTAATAAAATTATATAAGCTGTAAGTATACAGTACTATGATACATCATCTGTATATTGTATTGTGTGTTCACCACCCCAAGTTCTGTCACCATTTATCCTCCCTTTACCCTCTTTTACTTCCCCACTACTCCTTTCCCTCTGGCAATTACCATACTGTTGTTTGTGTGTATAAATTTTGCTTTATTATTATTATTTTTTTTTTTTGCTTAATCCCTTCGCCTTTTTACCCATCCTCAAACCCCTTCCCCTGACAGCTGTCAGTTTGATCTCTGTATCTATGAGTTTGTTTGTTAGTTTATTTTGTTCATTATATTCCACATATAAGTGAAATTATATGGTATTTGTCTTTCTCTGACTTGTTTACTTCACTTAGCATAATACTCTACAGGTGGAATTAAGCCCAGATTCAATTTCAACTTTGTTAGACAAAGCACACAAAGATAGTTTCGATTATGAATAGTCACACAGATGCTGAAACACTGCTTGTTAGCTTACACCATGTTATCTGTAATAGGTTCTACTTGTCCCAGTAGCAACAATTTGGGTACAGGTGAACAGATAAACCTGTACCACGCTTCGATTTTTCATGTCAATATATCTCCTCAAAGAGCAGAGGAGAACGAAGTCCTTTATCCGCATACCAAACCACCTCAAAATACTTTGCTTCTCTCTTTCAAATGCATTTTTATCATTATCTTGCAAATATGTCATTTTTAACCAATAAAATGGGGACATTATTGGAAGCTCCTTTAAAAGTGGTTTCTTAATAAAATTCATTTTTAAAAAGTCAACACTGGAACTCTGAAAAGACTACACTAATTTAAGATCTCAAAATGTGATCAAATTAATTTAAGATTCCATTATATCAAGATCATTTCCAACTTAAGAGTTTATATTAAAGGATTCTGCAAAGTGATTTTCTTAATACTGAATCATCCAATACCATCAACTTCCAATTATGTGTGCCATAAGAATTTTTTAAAAATCAGCAAATTTAAAATTGAGTTAAATTTTTATTTTAAAAAAGTATTTTATAATTACACAGAAATATAGAAGTTTCTAACAATTCACAATTTTATTATCTTTAAACATTTAACTTTGTAGAACTTGCTGTTGAACTCTTTTGTTTGCTATGCAATTCTAAAACAAATACCAAACTAGAATAGAACTGTATACTACTCACTTAAACTTACTAAGAGGTAAACATTAGTCTTGGTTGTTTTTACAATTGCTACTGTTTATATCTGATACTTTTTATACTGTGATACTGTTTATTAGTCAGCAAATACTCATCGATCAGGAAATAAAGACCAAACACTGCTTAAGTCAGAAGTGTTTGGATATTAGGAGGATCAGTTTTTAAATCCATTGAAAATATTTCAATGAAGTTGATTCAACCAAAATGAAACTAGAAAAATTATTAATAGTAACTTACAAATTATCATTAAAATAGCTAGTGATGCCTGGCTGGAGTGGCTCAGTTGGTTGAGCGTAATCCTATGCACTAAAAGGTTGCCAGTTCAATTCCTGGACAGGGTATGTACAGGAAGCAATCGATTGATGTCTCTCTCTCCCTCTCTCTCTCTCTCTCTCTCTCTCTCTCTCTCTCTCTCTCTCTCTCTCTCTGTCTCTCTGTCTCTCTCTCCATGTCTTCCAGTGAGGATTAAAAAAAAAAAAAAAGAGCTAGTAACATCCTAGTATTTTTTAAATACTCACCTGTAGCAGATAGGAACTGCCTGGATCTAATAAGCTGACAGCTTCATTCTGCATAGTGTTCTGTTGTGTAACTGCATCTTCTCGTTTTCGCTCTTTCTGCCCCGCTTCATCATCTTCATATTCATCTAAGCACTGAAAGAAAGAACAGTTTTCATTTTACCACTAAATATTAATAGAATGTTTTAAAAGTATGTGAAAATACATTTGATAGAATAAGGAAATATTTGTGCTTTCAGAAACTAATTTACACAATAGAGATGTTTCTTTCAGCAAAATACTGGTATAAATTTCTTTCCTGTAAATTAAATTATCTGTTTAATAGCCACAATTCCATATTCACATCACTGCCAACATGTAATCTCAATAGTTGCTTAAAGGTAGAGTTCACTCATTCTGTATCATCCATTCAACAAGTAAACAAACTGTGTCTACTTTAAACAAGGCACTTTTTGGAGGGAAACAAAAAAGATACACCACAGACAAGGTCTTATAGTGTACAGGGAAAACGAGACATCTATATAAAACTTAATGATAAAGGCCACTTTCTAGCTAATTAGTACTGTGAGTACATACAGAAGAGTTTTTTCACCTCTACAAAGACTCTGTAGAAGAGCTTATACTTTAAAGGATGGATAATTCCTAGAACTGTAGATAGAGAGAAAACAGACTTTCAGATGGTGGGAAGAACACATGGAAAAACTTACAGGAAAGGGTGTTGCTAAAAAGCTGAATCAACATGAGCAGTTTCTATCTCTAGACTTTTTACATGAAAAAACAATAACCCATAATCAGAAACAAACTCTATCCATTACACCCATTGTAACTGAACACATTCCTAACCAATACACTGCCCTAAAGGATTCTATGAAAGACAAAAAATAAACAAACAATATCCCTGCAGGCACTCTGCAAACACTAAGACATTGACCATCATACAAAATGGCAGGAAAGACAATAGAACTTAAAAATTCTCTAAAGAGAGAGAGAGAGAGAGAAGAGAGAGAGAGAGAGAGAGAGAGAGACAGACAGACAGACACACACACACGGAGGCCACTGTATAAGTCAAGAAGGATCACTGGAGTGTCTGGAATAGGAAGAACCTAGTACATAAGCAGCACAGTGAGACACAAGGTTCACAATGGGGGATATGGAAGCCGAGAAGGAATCTTAAATTAGAATGATGTGGGGAGAAAGTCAGAAAAAGAATGGAAGGGGTGAGAATAATGTTCAGGGTCCTCTCCATTAATGAAACTGTGTGCACTGGTGTCATCTGGTCCTAGCTAGTCATGTAACTTGTAGGAGCTGGGGCTTGGATAACCAGTGCAAGAAAAATGATGATACTGTCGCTACTGCAATTGTTATGAGTAATAAGCTGTCCTTGTCTCTGACCCAAGAGACTCCTGTCTTCTGCCAGGACCCATAAAACTACTGTAGGCTAACATGTTAGTCTACAAGAAGGATAAGATCTCAGGTCCTTCACAGTTAGTTCACAAGGTGAAAATCAGAGAGGTGCCGAAACCAGTTTGGCTCAGTGGATAGAGCATGGGCATGTACTTTGGTTGCGGGCACATCCCCAGTAGGGGGTGTGCAAGAGGCAGCTGATCAATGATTCTCACTGATGTTTGTAACTCTGCCCCTCTCTCTTCCTCTCTGTAAAAAAATCAATAAAATGTATATTTTTTAAAAAGAAAGAAAATCAGAGAGGCATATGCTTTAATCACATATAAATAATAAATACATATACTATAAATAGCCTGAGAACTCTGTTCTTTTCACTACATAACATGGAAAGATGTTATAGTGCTACAATTCCCTGGCATATAAGTAAAACATGATCAAACTGATTTTGAGAAAATAACCTGATAGAGTAATTAACTGTACAGATTAAGAGAGACAAGGATCAAAAATGAAGAGACTAGTCAAACAACGTAATAGATAATTTGATCCTATAAAAAAAAATTTTCCTATATGGAAAACAAAACCCAATAAAGGATCATGTTAAATGGCAAAATATAAACAAAATTTAAAAGCAAAATTAGATTTAAGACATTAATGTCCACCAACATAGTTATTAACATCATTCTGGAAGGACTATTTGATAGAAGTAGGTAAGGAAAATAAGATTTCAGCACTATAAAGAAGGCAAAACTCCATCACTTCAAATGATACGATTTTATCAAGAATATAACCTAAAATATTTTAGAATTATTAGAGCTACTGAAGATGGCTTTTCAATAAGTAAGCAAAAATAACTTCCCAAAGTAACATCAATAGACAATGAGATTAATTTTAAAAATAACCTTAATGAACTAAAACACTTTATTAAAAAAAAAAACAACCTATAAAATGACTGAGAAATATAAATTAAAATCCATTCTTAAATTGAGAAAAACTTATTAGAGGTGTCAATAATCTTAAATCAACTTATAATATTAAAAAAATGTCAATCAAAATCTTAAGAGAATATATTTGGAAAGTAGGGTGGGCCGTCTGGATGCACAAATACATAAGACATTTCAGAAAAGTTACTTTTTTAAAAGGGTTTATGACAGAATATTCATTCTGGTTAACATTAAAATGTATAAAACCACAATAATGTAAACTGTATGACAGAGGACCTAGAACAGAAAAGAAAATTAAGCAAAGGAATTCTTCAGTATGTAGTACTGGGAAGAGAAGCAACCATTAATGTACAGTGGTGGCTGAGAAGCAAGAATACAAGACCTGGACAAAATAAAGTGGTCTCATCTCTAATCTGCTCTACAAAGCAGCCATCCCTTTCTCCAGTACCTGAATTGCAAAAATCCCTGACTGTAGGATTGAACTTCAGTAGCATAAAGCTAGAATTCTTATTTCATGGAACCTATTAGTCCGATCTAATAAAGAGGGAATATGCAAATAGATAGTCATGCCATAACAAGCTGGCTGCGCCCACAGAGGCAGTGGGGTCCCATAACACAAGATGGCTGTGCCCACAGTGGAGGCCAAGTTCCCATAACAAGCCTTAATGAGCAATTGGACCTGAGGCTGTGCCCCCCCAACCAGGCGCCATGCTGGGGGAACTCAGACCACGCCCCCTGTTCCAGCATTAGGCCATGGGACCAGAGGCCATACCCTCCACCTGGCAGGACTTGACAGGGACCTCAGGCCGTGCCCCCCTCTCCCCCGCCAAGCGAGGCTTGACACCGGACCTCAGGGTGGACTCCCCACCCTGGTCCTGGGCAGGGAGGCCTGAAGTTGCACTCCCCGCCTTGGCACCAAGCTGGGGGACCTGAGGCTGTGCCCCCGACCTGGTGGGGCATCACGGGGGACCTCAGGCCGCATCCCCTACCCAGCAGGGCTTGACGGGGGGTGGACGGCTGGGTCTGGATCTAGCCCAATGTGGGTGGGGCCGGCCAGGTCTGGGTCTCATGCAATTTGGTGAGTGGGCAGGGACTTGACTCTGGTTCCCATGGTATGACCTAGACTCTGAAAGGAAGATTTTCATATACATTTTATTAATTTCCTTTCATCTCTGACACTTCTATCATAGAGAAAGGACAAATAGCAATATTAAAATATTTCCTCTAATTAATTCCCTTTTAATGTGCACGAATTTCATGTCCTGGGTCACTAGTGTGTGTGTGTGTGTGTGTGTGTGTGTGTGTGTGTGTGTATGGCTAATATGTAAACTGTCCCCACAGAAGTTCGACTGGGAGACCTAGAGTTCAACCACGCACTGATCACCAGGTGGTGGCACAGAACAAAGGAAGGCCCCCCGCCGGCAGCCAGAAGCCAGGGAAGGAAGCCCTTGGCCAGCAGCCAGAAGGCCCTGATCAGCCCTGATTGCCAGCCAAGCCTAGGAACCCTGCCCATGCTTGAATTTCGTGCACGGGACCTCTTGTAGACAGATAAAAAGTAAAAGTCGAGGCAGGGAGCCATGAACTCCCTGAGCACTGGGATGTTATCTTTGTTTTCATTTGAGATCCAACCCTTCAACACAAACCTTCCCTCTTTCTCACATCCTCAACAAATGTAGACTCCCTTACCAGTAGCACATTAAAAGAAAAAAAGAAGAAAAAAAAACACACCTCTTCAGTAAATGTTTGATAAATGAATGAGTTACCAAGATGATAAAAATCAGGGAGATGGACTGTGGCACCCCAAGTTAAAATTCTCAATGTTCTTTTCCATAAAAACACCATTTTCCACTGACCTGGGAACCTATTGCACATGCTATCTTTGTGGAGCGTGTGCATGTTACACCTCAGGCAGCTTTTAGAATAGGGCTTACTTGATGAATCACAATTTCTCTCTGAAGTTCTTCTAGCAACTTGTACAGTTCTTTTAACAAGCACCCCTAAATTCTTTAAGCTAACTGGAATAAATATACCTAGATAAATTTGTTAAAAATGGTGAGAAATAAGAAAAGAATGAAAACAAAAAAGAACTGAGTTAATAAAAGAAAGTGAGCAAAGACATTTTCTATTTCTGTTTCTTGTAAAGATTAATAATCCTCTAAGCACATAGGTGACTGGTATCCTTAAGGGAGAGAGAGAGAATTGTTGTTAAATAAGTACTAGCAAAGGAGGACCAAAAAGAAGCCTAAATATTTTTAAACTTTTTATAAAATATAAGCTTTTTATATCTAAGAGGGAAAAAATGAAAACAAGATACTGATTTTATATTATACTTGTATCAATAATGTGGGACTGAATTCCCTCTCTCTCTTTCTAACTCTCATTTCTAAATAAATGTAAACATGAAAAAGTCATTCTCTCCTTTTAATATTAGAAAGTTGCATGAGAACAGGGTTGACAAGTATAAATTGAAATAAAGTCAGCTTCTTTTATTTATTTTCCCACAAAATCAGCTTTTAAACAGAGATGATAATAAGCATCTCTGAATTTTACCAAGCTCTGCTCTTCCAAAAATACATGTTAGAGCGCTAATATTTTAACAAATATCATAAAACCCCTGGGGAAAAAAAAAAAAAAAAAAGTATGATCTTCATTGCAAGCAACTAATGTTGTTGTTAAAAAAGAGAAGCTATGCCCTAACTGGCTTGGCTCAGTGGATAGACCGTAGGCCTGCGGACTCAAGAGTCCTAGGTTCAATTCTGATCAAGGGCAAGTACCTTGGTTGTGGGCATA